GGGAAAGAAGAAGAGACTTAAAAGGTGAGAAAGGTGGGAGAAACTGGGAGTAAGTGGGAAGGACACACTGCCTCTGCCCAAGGAAATAGCTGTGGGCTGCAATTAGCTAAATGGTATGTGACTCTTGCTCTGTGATTGTGTTTCGGTTCTGAACCACTCATTGGTTTACTTCTGTTTCTAATGGCAGGAGTGCTGAAAAATAAGAGCTGTACTCTGCACCACCAACAGGAATTTCCTTTAGCTTTTGGTGCTGAAGCTATATTTTAAATGAAAACCACTAGCTTTCATTTCTGGAATAACAGTAGCAGATAACTATAGCACAGCCATGGATTTATAGCAATGCTTTATGCATGGGGATTGATCCTTTAGGCAGGCTTTGCTCCCCTCTTTGCAACCACTTCTTGCTCCCATGAACATCTTTGGTATAGGAAGGATAAGCTGGGGGGAGGCAGTTCTTATGCAGTGAAGCTTATCAAGCTGAAGGCAATGACAAAAAATGCCACCTCCTCTTGTAAATATTATGTAACTACAACAAAGTTTGTTCCTTGCCTCCAAATAAAACAAAAGCCCTTCCTTAGAGCCAGGGCAGCAGGAAATCTCGGTGCCTTCCCTGAGCATTTAAGTGCTTATGAGTGCCTCACCACTCACCAGCACTCAGGCTGTCAGAAACCAGGAGACACAAATCGATAGGGTTAAGTGGATTCGCTCTGTGCTTGCCTGCATATACACATCCTAATCTCCCCCTGCCTCCCCACCTGCGCTGCTGTTATCTCTCTCAAGGGAACTACCATTCGCCTGCTTGTCCAGACAAGCTCCAGAGCTTTAAGTTGCCAAGGGGTGAAAAAAGAAAAGCCTCCCTGCTGATGAAGGGGGGAAGGAAGGGGTAGGTGAAGAGAGACTTGCCCCATGCTAAATGCAGGGAAAAGTGAGCAAGTAATGCAATACCATCTTCTGCTAGATGAGGCGGGTCTGCTGGCACTGTCTGGTAACAGATCATAAGGACTCTCTGTCATAGCAGCTGGCAGCAAACATGTCCTGGGGAGCAAATGACTCATGGAAGTATGTATGGGCATTGGGACAGTGCAAGTGTCACACAGGGGCGTCCCATCGAAGGACAGGAAACACAGTGTCATTTGGAGTGCTGCTTCTTTGGAATTGTGACCACAAAGGAATGAGTAATAGGATTAATTCACTTAGCTATTGATCTCAGACACACACGTTTTCGTTTAACATTATTAGAACAGAATGGCTCATAGCTGTGGGCAGTACAGCAGAGACAACATCTACATTCCCCTTTGCTCATGAGGTAAATCTTAGCAGCCAATTCCTTATAGTGAACCCCTGGGGAAGGGTTTCCTATGGAGAATTAGCCTAATGATTAGACTGGTGACTCTAGCACTGTTCTTTACAAATATACTCTCAACAAAATAATTGGTGACCCAGATAACATGGAGATATAGCCAGGTAAGTTCTATATAGAAAATTGTCAAGGAGGGAAGGAAGGAAGAGGACAGAATGAGCTTGATGTAATTAGGTCTGGATATACATGCACATGCATGCACACAGTATCTCAGCTAACCAGGGGAAAAGTTCAAATACAGCCTCCCTGTATCTCCATAAAGATCTACAAAAGTGGGAGAAGACAGATTATGGTATAGGGAGGCACTAAGACATTTTTCAGTAGTTTCATCACATGGAGCATGAGGTCTGTTCAGGGACCCGAATAACTTCTTTGCCAAATTAATCTGCAAAGCTCTTACAAAACCCTGTGCCCATGAGTAAGTGGATGTAAGGGCCAAAAATAAGTTTCAAAGGTGATGAAGACCATACTGGGATTGGTGGAGTCACCAGGTGACACCATTAGAGATGCTGGCACCTTAGATAATCCCAAACTGGGCCAGCTCGTGCAGTTCCAGATGGCTGAAAGCTTCCCATGGGCAAATCACTGTGATATCTGCAAAAGAGAGTGAATGAAAAATGACTTTTGGTCACTGCATTTCTTGGATTTATTTTGTATTAAAGGAAAGGCTGATTTACTTCGGAAGCATTAAGAAGGTGACTCCATTTGAAGCTTAAATGTGCAAATGAGCTCTTCAAATTTGGTACTGCCTACTGGACTGAAACAGATAACTGTATCTTCTCTTGTGCCATTTTTCTTTGTGACCAAAATCAAACCAGCATTTCCTATAGCCTCTTCAGTGACTGCGTCGACTGGTATAAAAATTCATTCTGGTTACTTGGTTTCTACTGTTCTTATAAACTAACTGTAGCTAAACTGTGATCTCCTTGAAGACACAGGCAATCTTAAATCAGATATTGAATAATTTGGCCTACAACGTTCAGGATCTGTAGTTCTTTGATAGGTGCAGTTGTTATTGATACCTAGGAAGTTCTGACTGGCTACGGCTCATCCAGTGCATGTTTCTCAATCCCCAACAGGTGCATAAAGTTTTTAAAATTAGGATTCTGGTGATAACACCAACACTTAACCAGCTGGAAATTAGTTCCTGTGATTTTTGGTATTAATAGCCTAGCATTTGGCATTTCTTTGAGAACCTCATTCTGCTGCAATTCTCAGCCAGAGTATTAGCAGAAAACAAACAAGCACATTTGCAGCCAAATGAGAGTATTCAGAAATTGAAGCATGCCTAAATAGCCTTTCCGTCTTGAAGTGTGTCTAAACTTAAGCATGACTGTGGCAGCTTATGGTGGAAGTACCAGCCTGCTCTGGTGACCCTGAGAGCTGCGGAGAGGCCAGGAGACACAGAGGCCATCCCAGAGAGTCCTCTCCTGTGCTGAAGCACGACTGCACAGGTGTTCAAGCAGGGCATGACAACAGCATCTCACAGGGCTTACCTGTGCCCAGTCCCTCCATGCCTGGGATGTCATCTCCAAACCTAGGGGAGAAAAGAGCAAGTGAAGAGTTGAGTTTGGGCCAGCAGCACCCAGGAAAGGAGAGTGGCCCTGCACATCCAGCCGGGGAAGGAGAAGTGTGGGTGGGCAGCAAATGAAGAGAAGTAGCTTCAGGCAGGAGAGCTGATGACACCAGGGGCAGGGGGAAGCCTCCTGGCTCCTTGCCCAAGAGAAGATGCTACTGCAGAAGCCCAGCTTAGCAATGGGGAGCCACCTACTAGCATGGTTTCTTTTCTTTCGAAAATGCTCTTACCCTTTTACTCCTTTCTTAGGGGGCTTGCTCTTGAACTGCCTTGTCTGTCTCTGCTTGAACTTGGGAGGCCCCTTGCGTGGTGTGGTGGGACCAGTTGGAGTATCTCCAGTGTTGAGGTTGGTGGTTGGGTTCTCGCTCATTTCTGGGCTGCTGTGTGTGGCAGGCACGTGTCTCTCTCAGATTCCTCTGGCTGCAAGATAACAGCAAGGACTGATGCAACATTCTGCTTAGGATTTCTAGGTATCAGTAGTCAGGTCACAGAACTATGAAAAATATAATTGTGACAGGATTAAAGATAAAGATATTAAATGTAAAGAAATATTGTATTGCATTCAAAGTAAGTAGGATAGTACTGCCTTTCATCTGGCATGCTAGAATTAAGATGCCAAACAAAGGACACTTGAGCTAAGGACAAAAAGATAATTCACCCCATAGTGCAATCATTTCCAGAGTCATGGAAAGCCACACCTTCTTTTGTCTCAGACATAGCTGGACTTCTGGGGACAGGTCACGGCAGCAGCTTTCCCCACAGTTTGGGTAAAATAGGAAGGTTGATGCCAATATAGTTTGTTTTCTAATAAGTCTTGAAACAGCAGTGCTGGTGTTTTCACTTCCTGGTTAAGGACATGACTACTAGAAGCCACAAAGACACACTTTTGGCTTAGAGAAATATCCTATACTTGGGAATCATCATGATATACTTCACTTGTGCCTGAGCATTACCTTTTACACACTGATTGAATGTTGAGTTAGATGGGCCCTTACTCGGGGTGGAACTCCAATTAGGCTCTCGTATCTGTCAGTACCAAACTTATGGGAAATAGCACAGGATCTTTGGAAGATGGTAAAGAAGGCTAAGGCGAAGTGTTTGAGACTGTCTTTTAGACAGAAGGTAATTTCTCAGGATTTAGGAGAGTAAAGCCTGTAACCTTCCCCAGGGTATGTTCATTTTGGTATTTTTGAGCATTTACATTACACACTGCACATAAGCCAAGCTCCCCTTCACAGGGGCTAAGTAGTTACCAGGGAGCAATTCTTGTGCAGGAGACATCTCTCCTGCCTCAGAGAGAAGAACTGCTGCGCTCAGAGCCCTTTGCTTCCTTCCCAGATTGCACAGCAATAACTCTCACCAGTGCCCAAGGGGGAGCTTCCAACCCTTCATGAGATTTTATGCTTATTAGTATGCTAGAATGGTCTGAGCAAGTGCATTTGTGGACAAAAATAAATGCCTTTTTTTTTGTCTCCTCTCCTTGAAGTCACATTCTTCTTCCCCATGACCATTACTTAACTCCTATCTCGAGGTGTTTGTCCCTGTGCAGCCAGGCTGATGGAATCACTGATGGAATTAACTTCAAGGATTTGGTACTAAGGGCTAATCACATTATGTCACCATAGTGCTCTGGCCTAATCCCCAACATCACGTGCAGTGACACTCCAGACTTTTAATTTCACAACTATAAATGCCATCAAAGGTGTTTTGGTTTGTGGGTTTTCTTTCTTTTCTTAGTCTGAAGACAGTTTGTGTCTTCGACTGCCCTGAAATATCCAAAGTGCCAGAAATCAAAGCCTGAGATGAGAGGAGAAAAACCATCCAAGCAATGCTGTGTCACTTCCACATCAGTGCAAGACAAAGAGCCACGTTTCTCTGTCTGTGGCAGTGTGGGAATACTTCACCCCTGACATCTTTCCATCTGTGCTGACAATAGCATGGATCCTAATGAGAGCACCTAAAGGCATGTTAGTTCTCCCATCGCCTGCGGTCAAGCTCCTTTCTCAGCTGTAATATCCCGAGCAGGAGTCTGGATGGGTTCCAGCAGCCCCAAATGGAGCAGCAGATGGTTGTGTCTGCAGCTGAAGTATGCACAGATGCTATTCCCCCGCCTGTAACACAATGCTTCCTAAGCACATACTGTGCCCACAAACACAAGGATCAGCTCAAATTGTAGAAGTTACTTATTCGGCTGCCATCGCTGCAGCCCAGTATTTACGGCTTTATCCTCACAACGTGGTGGCAGGAGAGGCAAACACTGTCACCTTCACCTTTTGCAGAATGGGAATGAGGTGCAGTGATCGGCATGACCTGGACTGCACTGCTGGAAGGAGTGACAAAATCTTTTGACTCACAGGTCTTAGGGCCAAACTGAGAGGTGAAGGCAGTTGAGCTCCAAACTGAGGAGAGAACTTGATGCCTCATTGTTACTCAGGACCAGTGAGGAATTCAAATGGTACTGCTCTACAACAAAACGCTGCTCCATGATGTGTCTGCTAATGCCCCAAAGTATAACATTATGCTTCTGCCTCAGGTGCAGTTCTCACCTCAGGGTGTCTGTTTCAATGCTAGATACCCCTCCTGAAGTACGAGAGACACACATCCACTTCTAAGCACTGTGTTCATCTGACATGACACGATACATAGTGCCCCTCTCAAGGGCTACTCCCTAAAGTACAACAGAAGAAACAAACCAGCTAACAGATTTCCAACCCTTTGGACTGGCATCCGAAACTTGTGAGATGCATTTGAGTTCCATCTCCAAGTGAGCTCCTGCCCCGCTTCACCAGCCACTGCGGTCTGTCAGCATGGTACCTTGACCACAAAAATGTCTTTCAGGATCAACTCTTAGTTCCTTGAGACCATGCCTTGTCTCTGGCCTTTATTCAACAGAGAAATAGTGGATGGAAAGAGCCTTTGGAGTTTTCTTTTCCCGAAATCTGAGGTAGATGTACACCTCTACCAGCTATTCGATAACCCAGGATTTGGTAGGAAAAAGGATCTGCCCAAATCACACTTCACCCACTCTCTCACCTGTATGAATTCAAGAAAGAGCACTCAATGAAACTAAAAGGGACAGTTCTAACTTCTTCCTTAACAACCTCCCTCTACCTATTCTCTCCATGCATCACCAAAAGAAATGATAGAGGATGGAAAGCAACCTTAATGC